GGGAAAATGATAATGATGATGGGAAAAAATAATAAAAGTTGATGAAAATGATGATAAGAAAAATGATAGTGATAATAATAATGGTGTTAGTGATTATTGTAATAATGATAATAAGTATCATAATAAGGTGATGAAAATAGTAATATTAATGATAATGATAATAACAGTAATAATGGTATTCATAATCGCAGTCATAATTGTAATCCTCATATATAAATAGTAGTATAATGATAGATATCGTAATAATCATTATCATCATATCCTCCTCCTCCTCCCTATCATCATTATTATAATAATGATGATAATGATAATAGTAATAATGATACGAATATGATTGTTAATAATAATAATAATAGTGATGATAACAATAACAACAACAAAAAGTAATGATGATGATAATAAAGATACACTAATCACCATTACCATAGTTATAATCATGTGATTATGATTCTAAGTGCTAGCAGTACTAGTAAAAACACATTTGTACAAGTATTAGTACTAATATGATAATGAAAGCAATTGCTGTGGTAATACAGTTCGAACTACAGCAATGGCGACCAAAACATTATCAGCAACAATGATGACAAAAATACAGATGTTTGTTATGAATTACATATATATATATATATATATATATATATATATATATATATATATATATATATATATATATATGCGTGTGTATACATCCATATAAGACTGAAAAAGAGTGTTGCTCCTCCGAAAACTCTGCTCCAAGGCAGCGAATGACAGATTTTAGGCTAATAACTTTCACGCTCCGTAGTAATAGCATGCCTTTTACGGCAAAGTACACAGACGACAGTACTAAACGCGCGCACAAGTACTCTTGGGCGGCAAACAAGGTTTAGTATGTATGAGTCAATTTCAAGATACAAGCTTCCTGTCGGCGTTAAATCTTACTTTTCTCGTGCGGCGCTTAATGGAGTCAGCGGATCAGTTTGTGCTGAGTCAGGTCCTGATTTGCAACGGATAGTATATGCTAAGCACGTATAGACGCACTCTAACACACACACAAACAAACACATACACGCAGCACACACACACACACACACAACACTACATAACAATAACAACAAAAAGTAAAGATAATGATAATAAAAATACACTAATCACTATTACCATAGTTATCTCATGATTCTAAGTGCTAGCAGTACTAGTAAAAACACATTTGTACAAGTTTTAGTACTAATATGATAATGAAAGCAATTGCTGTGGAAATGTAGGTCGAACTGCAGCAATGGCGACAAACATTATCAGCAACAATGATGACAAAATACAGATGTTTGTATGAATTACATATATATATATATATATATATATATATATATATATACGTGTGTATACATCCATATAAGACTGAAAAAGAGTGTTGCTCCTCCGAAAACTCTGCTCCAAGGCAGCGAATGACAGATTTTAGGCTAATAACTTTCACGCCTGTAGTAATAGCATGCCTTTACGGCAAAGTACACAGACGACAGTACTAAACGCGCGCACAGTACTCTGGGCGCAAACAAAGTATGTATGAGTCAATTTCAAGATACAAGCTTCCTGTCGGCTTAATCTTACTTTTCTCGTGTGGCGCTTAATGGAGTCAGCGGATCAGTTTGTGCTGAGTCAGCTCCTGATTTGCAACGGATAGTATATGCTAAGCACTAGACGCACTAACACACACACAAACAACACATACACGCACACACACACACACACACACACACACACACACACACACACACACACACACACACACTTCCTATGTGTGTGTACACAAGTTACTGCAGAAAGCTGACTTATAACCCCAAGCACAGTCGCCAGACTGATGCATTGTGTTTGTTCTGGCGTGTGACGTCACAGGAAAGTGTTTGATGAGCTCTGAATAATCAGAAAGCTCAATGACGTCACAAACATAATTACGTCACGGAACTAAAAGGGACAACAGACTTTGACAGATATGAGTTGTTGAATATTTCTACGCGAACAGCATTTTAGGTAAAGCATTATTCTTACTTGTTTTTTTTCAGTAACTTGCTCTGTACCTACGGTTTTCTAGTTACCCTTCCTAGTATGACCGCTCATCCGTCGTAGTTGCTTTTTTCCTAGGTTTACACATAGGACGAAAAGCAAGCATGGCAGCATTGCCTATGCATTCGAAATCATTTTAAATTCTACGCGCCCTCTTGTCTAACCTCCAAGAGAGAAAGATCGCGAAGCCAGCTCAGTGAGTCAGTGGAGCTGGTGGCCGGGGTGAAGGACAGGGTTGGTTGCGTGAGGCTGTGTGCGAACCACCTCATATGCCTTGTTATCCCTTTTAACCGCCCGGGTCACTGGCTGGGGCTGCCCGCACGCCTCTCGTTTTCTTTCTCTCGCTCTCCGGTTTCTTCTGGATATCTGTATTATTATTATCTTATTTTTTTGTGTGTGTGTGTTTGTTTTGTGTCTGTCTAGCTGTTTCCAGTTACTCCTCAGTCTTTTATCTGCTCTGCTCTCTGCTCTTCTCTCTCTCTCTCTCTCTCTCTCTCTCTCTCTCTCTCTCTCTCTCTCTCTCTCTCTCTCTCTCTCTCTCTCTCTCTCTCTCTCTCTCTCTCTCTCTCTCTCTCTCGCTCATTCTCACTCATCCTCTAGCTTTATGTGCTCCCTGTCTCTCTCAGGTCAGATATTCATTTTCACGCTATTGTGTTTTGATGAGTTCGTTTGATGTGATGTGTTTTTATAAGAGATCTATTCCCGCCCAAACGCCGTTGTTTTGCGTGCGTTGGGAGAGGGGTGACTCCGTTATTTTTGTACCCTCGACTCTATAGTGATGCAGATTATTGTGATGTGGATCTGTGAATTAGAATCAATACAAATGCATCTCTATCTCATTCAAGATATTATTATTGTGGTCGTGGATGTGTTGTTCACGAGAGACTAGCCGTCAGGGATTTTGACAAGCTTAACTCGAGAGTAATTGCGGTATCCGTTTAATGCTGTTGGGCAGCGTTTATGATAGTAATGATATGTTTATAATGGCATTGGGTACTTTTGGTAAAGACAGCCTTAAGGTAGTAACGGGGAGTCTAATTGAATCAGTGGAATAAAAATACAAGTTGAAAATATAGAAAGGACATGTGTGTATATGTGTTGTTTTTTTTTTTTTTTGTGTGTGTGTGTGCATCAGAATAAAAATTCGATTGTCGTTTTGGCTTTGCCTTAGTCAAATGAATAAAAAAAATAAATAGATAGATAAAAAGTTCACACGAGTGGGTCTACAACGCTTACTTGAACACTGTAAAGAATCGAGAACTTTTTCCTTTCCTCTTCTCTCTCTCTTCTCTCTCTCTCTCTCTCTCTCTCTCTCTCTCTCTCTCTCTCTCTCTCTCTCTCTCTCTCTCTCTCTCTTCACGCACACGCAGACACAGACACAAACATGCATGTACACCCCTCTCTCTCTCTCACACACACACACACACACACACGCACACGCACATACAGACACAAACATGCATGTCACACACACACACACACACCACACACACACACACACACACACACACACACACACACACACACACACACAAAACATACGTACACACACACACACAAACATACATGCACAAACACACAAACATACATGTACACAGCCACACACACACACACAAACATACATGTACACCCCCCACCCACCCACACACATGTTCAGAAAGCCCTGTCAGAACAAAGACATTGGCTCCGTGGCCCACTTGCTTGCCGAAGTGTGGTTGTCAACTCACGAAAGCTACATGGAGACGTTACTGTCAGATAAAACTTTATTGAATCGTGGACATTCTTTGTATTGGTATTTTGTTGTTTCTAGATGGTGTAACAGTTGGGTATATATATCATTATGTAGTACTGAGCCAGAATAAGACTCGGGACTTCAAGTGACGTAGTTGCAGACGCTCTTGCACAAAGCCCAAGGGGGATGTTCAGCAACGTGGGTTTCTGCAACATCTAACACGTAGGCAGAGCAAAGCATCACGTGACCCGTAACCTTTATTCGGTTAACATATTAATTAAAGTTGATATGAGAGTTTGTGTTACACCTCGCACATCACACGGCAAAATAAAGGCGACATTTTACATCAGCAAGTGGCAAATACGACCTCTTGTTATCGACGCCATGTAGATGTTCAGTAGAGTGTGTGTAACAGGCAGTTTGGTGCTTTGTGTGGGTGGCGCATACACATACAGGGTGTAGCGGGTGACATCGCAGCAGCGCACCATCTATGGCGTGACACCGGTGATAAATAACACGCAGGTCATGCGTCGATTGTTGCAAGATCATCCACGACCTGCAGACCTTTTGCATGACGAAAATGACATGAGCGTTGGGAGAGGATCGTCATGAAGGGGATGGAGCAGCGATGTGGAATGTGGAATATGGTAATGGAATGTCCGATGGTTGGATTGGTCGCAATAAAGGTGTTGTTCAACCAGGTTGTGAAGCTATCTATATATCCATATTGTGATTGAAGTGAAGCGGAATTGTGAAATTAGTCTGAAGGCTTTCTAATAACAAGAATAATTGTGGGAGCATTATGGTGCTGAATGACGTTCACTAGATTGAGTGACGTAAATCTGACGCCATGATGTACACCGGAAAAGCGTGGCTACTGCTAGGCCGTTTCCGACCCCGGGGCAGTGTACTTGGCTCAAGTGTAAGGATAAGTGCTTGGAAAACATTTTTTCGTGCCGTTAATGCTTGCACATTTGCTCAAATACGGGTAAATGCCCCACGAAATCACTGATTTCTAATGATAATAATAATAAGGAAAAAATCTGTGTGAATTACAGTGGGGAACCACCTCGTTAATACGATCCCTCCTATTAATCCCCTCTTTAGCAAGTGTATCGATGACGTCATTCGATCAGCTGAGAGTACGGTGGCAGACAGACAGGCAGGGATTCTGTGGAGGGCAGGCGTGGGGATGGAGGATGGGGGTAGGGTTCCTGGGCCGGCGTTGGGAGGGGGAGGGTCGGTAGTGGTGATGCGAGTCGCGACTGACGACGAGTCAGTTACCCTCGCGGTTCCGTGGTGAGAGGGTGTGTATGTACGGCCGTCGTCGTGGCTGGACGCAACTGTGTTCCGCCAGTGGATTAACGTCTCGATGCGGTGATGTGGTGAATTGATGAGTGGTCTTGTGTTCTCAGCGAAGGGAGTGAGCAGGTGGTGTTATTTGTGGCACTTCAGCGGCGTTCTAATTAACCGCATATCTTGTTATTGAACGATACAAGAGTAGATGTGTGGAGTTGCCATGTAACTTTGGGCAGCGGGGGTTTGAGACAGACTGGCTTGGGGGTTTTCGAAACGGCAAAGATAGTGCCTTATTTTATCAAACTGCCGAAAACTTAGTGTACGTACCATATATTGTTTATTTATTTCCTAACGAAAAGACATTCATTCAGTAATAACCATCACTTACCAAGGAAAAGGAAAAGCTTTAGTAGAGTGTTATTTTGACAAGGCTTCGTATAACACAATGCATCAATTTAAACCTCTTGGTTCAAACTACAGCTGAGGATCTTTGCAACGGACTCTCTTTTGTGTGTATGCGTTAAATGTGTTGGAAATTGAACCCAAGTGAGTGCAACTGAAAGGCAACAGTTATATAAAGAAAAGAATATAAGAAAATACATGCACAGCCCTTCCACCCACACTGCGGTAAGTACCCAGTCAAGGAGTGCGTTTAAGTCCTAAACTTATTTGACTTTCGCATACCAGAGCTGTGACTAATTATAGTTGCTCATTTTAATTGTATATTTTTTAATCGACTGTTTTGTCATATTCACAATGACGTATGAATTGCTTTGTTTTGTTTTAAAAATGGGTTGCATAGTTTTCTTTTACGTTTCATTAGCTTAATAGCGCCAGTTAAATGATAAAGCACATTCTTAAGTGATCCTGCTGTATTGTTCTTTTACAGTTAGTGGAACGAGAGAGAGAGAGAGAGAGAGAGAGAGAGAGAGAGAGAGAGAGAGAGAGAGAGAGAGAGAGAGAGAGAGAGAGAGAGAGAGAGAGAGAGAGAGAATGCGGGTGAGCCTAGTACAGAAAGATGGGGGGAGGGTAACGAATAACGGGACAGAAAGGGAGGCGGAGGAGGAGGAGAATTCTGAGCAGATCTCACTTCCCTGATTCCCTCCTCCCCCTCCCAACCCCCATCCACCAGCCTCCTTTCAGCGGGTTCCTGTGAGAGGGAGTCCCATGGGGAATGCGTTCAGATGTAGGAACTAAGGCGAGGAGGCCGTAGAAATGTCAGTTCAAATACGCTAGGTAGGCAGGCAGGTGTGTGTTTTTCTTTATGCCTTCCGTCCCGAGTATGTATGACCGTAGGCCTAAACGGGACATTAGCCTTGGGGATTTTGGTTGGCGAATTCAGACCTGATGGTTTGGTGGGTCTTTTCGAGCACACAGAAGCAGAAGGGTGGGTGTCCGTAGCGTATTGTAATCCAAAATATAAAGTAAAAGAGAATCTCTCCCTTCAAAGTTTGATCACCCAGTGTACATCAGAAAATCCAACTTCTTAATGAAGTCCGTTCGAGAAGGCCAAAAGTACTGTGCTCCTTTTGAACGAAACAAACCCATAGTAGATATCAAGATTAGTCTTTGTAATTGGCCAGGAAGCGAAATTCGTGTGTATGTCTTTCTGGCTTGTCGGACCGTGTGAACTGCAGCAGCTTGTGTAGGCCTGTTGGTTGTCTAGAGGGGATTTGTAGTACTTTATGAAAAGCTGTTATTTTTATTCATGATGATTGATATGCAGATGGTGTTCATATTTGCAGTTTAGCTTAGAATTTGGGTTTTAAGTTAGTGTAGTTTTCGTACGTGCAGTGACGAGTTTGATATTATATTGACATCTCTCGTAATTGACATTATCTCTCTCGTTCCAGGTCATTCATTACCCCAGTCACCCCTTTAAGAAATACCCAGTTATGTAAAAATACGAACCTACCTTTATAGGACGAGCAAAAACATTGACGAGACATGGAGAAAAACTATGAATTGAGAAAAACTATACCTTGTCAAGACCACACCTTGCTACGTAACGAAAAAGTGACCTTCGTTGAATATAATAAAAAAGTTTCTCCCCTACTTAACCGTCTTATACTTGCTGTGTCTTCTCCCTCCTCCCACAACCCGCACTGTTGATATCCGTTCATTATAAGTTCATTTTGGTTTATGTTGGCCTAAGTTGGATCAAATTGGGCCGTAACGGATGAGCGCTGCTGAGAATTTGGCCGCCACTAATTTCTCACAATCAGGCGCTTGAGATTTAGGGCTGTTCTCGTTGTCTGAGCCTTTTATTTCATATCTCTCTCTCTCTCTCTCTCTCTCTCTCTCTCTCTCTCTCTCTCTCTCTCTCTCTCTCTTCTCTCTCTCTCTCTCTCTCTCTCTCCCTCCCTCTCCTCCCTCTCCTCCCTCCCTCCCTCCCTCCCTCTCCCTCTCCCTCTCCTCCCTCTCCCTCTCCCTCACCCTCCTTGTCCTTCTCCCTCCCTTTCCCTCCCTCCTCCCGTCTCCCTTTCCCCGACCCCTTCCTTTTTCTCATTAATTCGATCCTACACAGGCGCGTACGCCCAAGAACACCCTTCTACCTCCCCCCTTCTCTCTCTGTCTCTGCTCTACCCGCATTCCGTCATTTTTCACTTTCCTCAGCCTTTGTGCCCAGTCAGCGGGCCTCCAAAACAAGGGTAGGCCTATTTTCGGCATCGCACGTCGCCTCGGCATTATCGTAACGAATTTAGCGCGGATTGGCCTAGCAAATGGAATAAAGAGGCAAGTGGATATATATGTATTTTTTTATTCAAGTTAACTTAAGGGAGGGCGAAGGTAGGGGGGGGGGTAGGAGGAGGGCGAAGCGGATGTGGAGTTTATGTAATGGACTTTTTTTTTTTCTTTTTCTTTTTTAAGTTGTGTTCTTGACGTGTATTGATTATTATGTCTTGGAATATCCGCAGTACCTCATTATTAATGTAGAATTAATTATCATAGATTATGCCTTGTGAGGGATCGTGTAGGCTGCCTATTTTCTGTCCTTTTTTTAGAGGGGTTTGTTTTATCATACTTTTTTTATTTAATGCGATCAGTTTTCAAGTTTTCTTATAACGAATCCTTGGAATATACGCGAGGTGAGCCGTTTCTTGCTACCGTGTCTTGACATTGGTCTTTTTTCATTTTAGGATTGTTGTTTGATCAAGTCCAAGATTCGTGTCTTACGTTTTTTCCACTCTCCTGTCGGTTACTGTTCAGGCCTGTACCTTATAATTTAGGCCTATTCGTATGTTGTATAGATATGAATAGGTAGGCATATAGGCAGATAGGTAGGTTTGGTAATTATCGAGATATAACTTATGGTGATGTTTCATTGTCATTCTCTCTTCTCCTCTCTCTCTCTCTCTCTCTCTCTCTCTCTCTCTCTCTCTCTCTCTCTCTCTCTCTCTTCTCTCTCTCCTCTCTCTCTCTCTCTCTCTCTCTCTCTCTCTCTCTCTCTCTCTCTCCCCCTCTCTTCCCTCTCTCCCTCTCTCTCTCTCTCTCCTCCCCTCTCCCTCTCCTTTCTCTCCTCTTTCCTATGCCTTTGTTTCTTCCTCTCTTTATTATTCAATCGAGTAATCTGTCTCCCATTTAGCTCTGTATTTTCTGAAAAAAAAAAGTAAGTGAAGGCGTAATTAATTAGTTTGTGATTTATTCAATATCTAAAGCGTGGCCACTTATGAGGAAAAACAGTCTAAGACAAATGTAAATCTGCAACATCTGTCAGGCACCGATTTTTTTAAATGCCAAGATTCCGACTCCCCAACAGGTGTTAGTGCAACTGTATGGTTCCAACAGGTGCTTTTTGCAGATAGACAAGCATGGCATGCTGTGTGTGTGAGCGTGTCTGTGTCTGTGTCTGTCTGTGTACGCGTGCTTGTGTGTGGTCAGTGCGCGCGTGTGACTCCAACAAGGCCATGTTGGGAGTCAATGGCCTTTGAAACTATGTGGGCGACATACAGCCACATTGGCCCATTCGGAAAGAGAAACACAGAGAGTGTCAGACACAGGAATTTTTACTTGTTTACTTGTTCATTTCCTGGGCGAGGCTCAGCCGAGGAAGCGTGGGTGTGGCACTGTTTATTTCTATTATTTCTATTATTTATTTGTTAATCTTACTTTTATTTTTATTTTTTTTGAGGGTGTATGTTGCGGGCGTTCGAGGTGAATGCGGGTGGTGTATTTGCAGTGGTAGAATAGGATTTGTCCGAATGTGGGGTTATAACCTTGTTCGAATGCAGGGCTATGACCGTGTTCGAATGCGTGGGTTCAATGAAAGTTAGATATCTTTAACTAGGCCTAGATGGGGAAGCGACGAGTTCCTCGTAACGCGTGTGGAAAAGGTTATGAAAGTGGAGGAATAATTTCACAAATGCACATTTGCACCATTATCATGCATTCCTCTTGTTGCTATTATCGTCATCGTCGTTATTATTATTATTATTATTATTATTATTATTATTATTATTATTATTATTATTATTATTATTATTATTATCACCATTATATTTATCGTTATTGTTATCAGTCATTATCTTTGATATTTTCATTATTAGTACTGTTATCACTTTCATCATTCTTTCGTTTTGTAAATGATAATAAATAATGATTGGAATACTAGTATTAATGATAATTTTGATAGTATTACTGACTATTATGATTATGAATATTGTTAATGTCATTACCATATGATATTGCGTTATATCATATTAGATCATATCATTATTGTTATTATGATTACAATTAAAATTTCGATGTCAAAGCTTTTGGCTCGAGTGCGTCTGGGCGGATGAATGAAAATGGGCGGAGCTAAACTTGGGACACAAGACCCGAATACAATAAGTTATGTGGCGGTGTATTAGCGTTGAAAAGAGGATTTAGGTCAGTGATTTTGAGTAGCAGCGGCATTTCTGGTTGAATAGTCGAGCAGATGAATGCTGTATGGGTCCGAGAGATGGATAAAAATTGGGGTGGATTTATATGTGTCAGCTGTTGAAGTAAGTGGCTGTTGTGAAGTTTTATGTCGCAGTCTCTCTCTTCCTCTCTCTCTCTCTCTCTCTCTTTTTCTCTCTACATATATCTATCTATCTATACCTCTATCTCTCTCTCATGTATCCTCCTTCCCCTTTCTCCTCTCCCTCCCCTCTTATTCCCACCCTCTTCCTCCTTCCTCTCTCTCTCTCTCTCTCTCTCTCTCTCTCTCTCTCTCTCTCTCTCTCTCTCTCTCTCTCTCTCTCTCTCTCTCCTCTCTCTTCTCTCTCTCTCTCTCTCTCTCTCACTCACTCTCCTTTCCTCCCTCCACTCTCCCTCTCTCTCTCTCTCTTTCCTCCACCACCTCTCCCTCTCCTCTCCTTTCTCTCCTCTCCCTCTCTCTCTCCTCTTCCTCTCTCCCTTCTTTTCTCCGCACTCCTTTCACAAAATAGCAACACCAACTTGACACCTGTCTGTAACATGTGCCAGAGCCCTACAAGATGGTCCCCCTTCCCCCCCCGGCCTCTCCTCCTCCTTCCCCCTCTCCTCCCTCGCCCCCCTCTCCCCTGTACTGCGGCAGGAAGGATAATGAGGAGGACGCTCCCTGTGAGGATAGCATGAGGAGTTTGGTGGGTGGCTCCCCCCTCCTTCTCTCTCTAGGTCAT